AGAAGCATTTTCCCCGAAAACTTGGGAGGAGGAAACTCGAACTTCGAAAAAGCTGTTTGACACTTTTTTGAGAGCGCAACTCCGCCATTTAATGTAAAAAATCCTCAAGGAATTTTTTAGTTCATGATAGGAGGAAAGAGAAAAGATAGAAAACTCCCGGGGAGTTTCTGTTCAGAATCGGCCTGAATAAGTTTTCGAAGGCCAGAGTTCTTTTTGAAGTTTGCTTATATGTACATACGTATGTATGTATGTGTGTATGTACATAAAACACATTTGGCATCTACATTTTTGCTAGAGGGCTTGGCCGAGCTTCTCCTCCAATTTTTGGTATGCGACTTAATGCTGATACTCAGGGACCTTCAGTTTTACGCCGCCTCGCCCCCGGGAAATGGATTTTATAAGAACTTTTTCAAGGCAGAAATATACTCGAAGGTTTGCTTTGACCACGGATCGAACCTTGGCCCTGTGGAGTGGTAGTAGGCAAATCTAACCGCCCGGTGGCACATACATACAAATAATCAGGGCTATCACTAAATCCATCGTGGTCCAAAATTTTTGTGAAATCTACGAAAATGCTATCACATAATTGGATTAGCTGGGAACATATAGCGCCTAGACACGTCCATAGCAATTCGGATTGAAGGATCGCATTCCTGATGATTTCTGAAAAAATCATACTACCACCAATAATAATATTTTAGCGCGTTGAGGTGCCCCCCGTCCTGATGTTATCACACCAATGAAGGGGCAGAAAACCATTTTTTTTATGTTTACCATTGCCTGCCGAGGGCGACCGCTGTTAGGATAAATTTTTTCTAATTTTAGATGTTGCTAGGACCAGGGATCGAACCCAGGACCCAGTTTTTAAATGACAGATATTATAATTGCATTTTTTTTAACAAAAATGTGAAAGTTTAACCTAAAATATTTATTCCACTGAACTCCACTAGACCCCTAGGTCTTAAAAAATCAAATATAACATCCCTTGCGACTATCCTTCGATCAGTTCGATTATTCAAGAAAATTAATCATTATACAAAAAACCGTAAGATTTTCCTAACTGGACCATAATATTTCCATATATACCTATGTACAGTATTGGACATATCTATAGCACCCCCTTTCAAAGCGATATTGTTTGCCACTTATGTTTAGTTATTTGTTTTTAAGAATTTTCAATTAAAATACAGTTCATTCTCTAACAAAATCCATATAAACCCATGTTTTAAACTTTTTAAAAGACCGCAAAAAAGAATTTTTTTGAGTACACAGTTTTATAGCGCATTCAATTTTAGTCAATAATGTGCAAGTTTCAAGTCGCTAAAGATTACCGTTGATTTTTTAGAAAATAAATAAATAAACACGAGTGGCAAACAATATGACTTTGAAATGGGGGTGCTATTGTATTGGCCAATACTGTATGTACATACATGTGTACGTACATAAATATGTAAGTTCTGGGTTGACTTTAGCGGTTACTCTTTTTCAGGAAAGACAATATACAAGCTAAGGGCTAACATTTACTGTTTAAAGCAGGGACCGTAACAGTTACGGGGCTTTATAATAAAAACCACAATTTAACAGTTAAAATTGGATTTCCATTTTACCGATCAAATTTAACCATAATTTTACGATTTTTATTTGTTATTTTAGGTTTTAATTTTTAATATATTAAAGAATTCAAAGCGGTCATAAAAGCGCATACTCCACCTTAAGCAATACAAATTATAGAAAAGATAAATCACAAAAATTACAATTATTTTTGATAGGAGGTTTAACAAATATTCGAAAAAATAATGAACCAAGAAATTATGATTTTGCAATAAACCAAAAACAAAAATGTTGGTATTTACTGGTTATTTTCGGTCTCTGATTTAAAATGTTTTTATGCTAACAAAAAGGCTCTGAAGATAAATCTACGAAATGAAGTAAAAAATAATAGTTTTTATACATCAATATTTTTTAGAAAAAAAAAGAACAAATCTGTGCTTAAAATTGTCACAGCAAGCAATAATACCTACATACATACATATGTAAACAGATTTATAAATCAATTACAAAGGAAAGGAATTACAAAAAAAAAAAACAAAAATTAAAAGACGAAACGAAAAATGCAAACGACATTGACGTGCCCAGAACTGAAAAGAACGTGCCCAAACAGCCCAAAATAAGTCCCAAAAAACCTAACTTATTCGTACATACATACATATGCATATGTTCACAAATGCATCGCATTATATGCAAATATGTACATATGTATGTAAGTACCAAAAAAAACATAAAATAAATGAACAGCAATTATTTTCGCTTAAATTTAAGCCATATTTTTATATTTGTATTTGAATAAAATTTACAATTTCCGTAAAATTTTTTTTTTTTTATCAATACTGTATTGTATGCTAAAAATATACAATCAAACAAATGACGACAGCACAAAACACCAAAAGGCAATGCGGCACAAAGTCGGGATGGAAACACAGTAGAAAATTGAAAAGTGTATGGTGAGTTTAGCAGATTTGTATTTTCCTACCCACAAAACACAAAAATGAATGTATGCGTGTACTTTTACATCCACCAAAGAGTGCACACTGCTATATGCTTAATCGTAGTAGTAGTAGTAGTAGTAGTAGTAGAAGTGATACATAGTAGTAGTACTAGTAGTAGTAGTAGTAGTAGCGGTAAATGTGGGGATGAGATAGACGATTGGTACATATCTAAAAGAGATTTAGTTTAAAATCGATTAGTTAGTTCAAAGTAGGCAAACTGAAATTAAAACAACATTTCAAATTATAATGCGGGCTCTGAATCTGAAACCCCAAACCCAGAGGTCAGAAACATTAAAGCATACACATTTGTCTTTTGTGCAATGCCGATCGATGGTCATAGTAAGGACAAGCAGAAATTGAGAAGAAAAACAAACCGTTTGACCAGTCTGAAAGATAAATACAAAATTGCAGTTAAAATATTTATTTAATATTTTAAATCATCAAATTAAATATATGTATGTATAAGTTTTTTTTTATTATTATCGCTTAATGCAAAGAACATGTCGGTTTACACATTAAAAAATTGTTTGTTACAATGAATTTTAAAAATAACTAAACTAATTGAATTGAGCGCATGCATGCATACATAAATATGTACCTATGTTATGTACATAGGTATGAATATATGTAAAATATTTAATATATGTGTTTATGTACATACATATGTACATATACATATATGTATGTGTTTTTGCGGGTTTTACCAACTCCATCTTGTGCCGGTTTTACAAATCTTAAATGATTAATAAATTACGTAAAAAATACATCTTAGAATGTTCACAACACATATTCATTTCCTTACATAGCTAATATGTAGCATAGAAAAATTCGTTATCTTTTTTGGTTTGCACATATACCATAAGTCTGTTTTAATTTACAATATTTTTAAGGATGAGCATTCTACTAAAAATACGTTTTTGAAATTCACAATGCCCATACATACTACATACACAATGAAACTCTATCATCAGCAGTTAGTAACTTTGTAATATTTCCAGATGTCGATGAACTCTGTACACACCGGCACGCCAGGCCAGCAAACTTCCTGGCTTATGTAAATGTTCAATGCATACAACATTCAGACTAGAATTCGATGTACCTTTGTATAGTACATACATATGTATGTATGTAAATGTACTACGTATATATTAGAGACTGTAACGAGTATGACATAAAATTTCGTTTTTTTTGTATCTTTATGGCGAAAATAAGATTTAATTGTACTTGGGAGTACCCGAAAAACTCCTTTAAACTGGGAAAGTCCCGAATAAACCCTGAAACACCTCGAAAGACCCCGAAAAAGACGCAAAGTCGAAGCCAAAGTTCCGAAAAGGTCCTGAACGGTACCCAGCGAAAGTCATAAAAAATTCAAACAAAACGAAAAATCCCTAAGCATTTTTTTAGTATGCCCAAGAAAAAAGCTAAAAAATTCTACGATTTGTATGTAGCTCAAAAAATACGACACCAAAATAATACACAAGTTTTCTAAGTCATGAATAGGTACGATGGTACTCTGCAATGAAAGATAATTCTAACGGTACATCTTTTTTTCACATATTTTTGATTTCGAAACTAAAATTAACTTGCATTTACAGTCTCCGACACATATGTGTTCGTGCGTAAATACATACATACATACAAATGTATATAATAAATCTCCTTATCGGCGATACTTGATATGTGTTTTTTTTTTTTGTATTTTTAAACATTTAAGTATACAAATTTAGTTTTCTTTGAAACTCAGCGCATAGGCTGACTTAAGTAGAGTTGCGAAACAATCAGATGATCATTACTTTGGTCCAATTAATAATAAATAATACAAATAATTTACTACAAACTAGGTAGGATCAACTGTGCTGAACTGCTGCTCCCTGGAGATCTCGTTAACAGTTAATACAAATTTTGGCTGAACAGCTTTTATTTGGTTGTTTTGTTTTTTTCCTATAATATAAAAGTGTAAGTGTGTGAACACACAGGAAGCGGTGCATACATATGTATGTATGTACATTCATTTTGACTTTGAATATTCTATTTCTTTTCTTTTTTAAGGATGGCGCTGCTGTTAACTGAAATCAAAACAATTTTTTGGTAATTTATTTTTCGATAAATCTCTTCAAGGGCACAACTATTTTAGCCGACCTTCGCTTATCCTTGGCAACTAATTTTATGCGGAAAACTCCACACGGCCTCATTCATTGTGAACACAAACAGCGCCACTACGCTCGGAACAGCACCGCTTTCTATCTGTACGTACACTTATACCTGTCATGAGTAAATACATATGTATGCATGAATGTACATGTTTATGAATGTAGTATGTGCATATGTCCACCCACCCACACATACATCCATACATATGTATGTGTTTAATCTAAAAATGCAATACATATAAAAGTATAATAAACATAAATACTGCAAATGAACAAAATAAAACTATTACTTTTATAAAAAAAAAAAAAAAAAAAAAAAAAAAAAAAAACATCTTTGAAATGTTAATACTTTTTGGTCGCGTTCCATTGTTAAATTTCTGTCATGCTTCGAATAGAATGTTATGTATGTATGTTTGTACATATATGATTTGTGAGGAGGGATTGGGCACCTCAAAATCGAAAATATGTTTCTAATAAACTAAATAGAAGATTCAATAAATAAGTTAATAAATTAATAAAGTAATACGTGAATAAATAAATACATAAATGAGTATTGTTAATCTATCTCGTAAATTAATATCCTTGGTATTTTTCGACAAAAAGGCCGCTTAGTTGTTGTTGTTGTAAGCGAATGGCATGGTATTGATGAGACGCTCCTTTAGCAAGGAATTCGATATAAGTTGAATGCCCAGTTTCATTTTCCAATCCTCACCAATGGCGTTCATGGCTTTGTTCGCCGCCAATTGTCCGGCAATTTTATCGTCATCGACGACGACGCTACCGGCCAAAGAATGGGCGATTTCCTCATGCATTGTTGCATCTGGCGTCTTGCCGTTGCCAATGCTATCTCCAATAACTGCTGCCGCCGATATAGCTGTGATGGCTCCTGTTAGACCGTATGTTGGCTTCATGTCTGCATTCGCGGCGCATGCGTCACCATCAATGTCTCCGCCTCCGCCTCCGCCTCCGCCGTTAACGTGGGCTGGTCCATGCGGACTGTGTGGCGCATTATTTGTCTCGTAATGAGCTTTTTTCAGTGACAGATTTTCGGGCGCCGAGCCATCACAATCATTGGCGTTATTCAAGCCGCCGCCAACACTATTCTCGCCACAGCTGCGATATCCACCGCCACTGCCGCTTCCACCGTGGTGGCTACTACTTGTTGTCTGTTGAGCTATTGCCGGCGGAATGCCGTGCTTCGATGTCAAATGGCGGACCATGTGGTATTTGCGCCGGAAACGCGAGGGACAGAGGTCGCAACTAAAACGTGGCGGAATACCAATGCATTCGTCCCGCATGTGCCGCTGCAAGTGACGCTTGCGCAAGTAACTCTTTCCACAAACTGCACAAGGAAACCGTTCATGCGGATTCTCAGTAAACATTTCACCCCCGACTAACATTGACGATTTAAATTCATACTTTAGGTCTGTTAACGACAACATGCGTGATTCGAGATCGTGAGCGATTTATCGGGGGGTTTATGCGTAGTAGATGGTGTGTGTGTAATGGGTTTTTATGTGATGTATGAAACGAAAACAAAAATGAAATAAAGAATTTATATAAAGTTATTATTAACTATATTCGATAAACGCTTGAAAGTTGTGAAACACTGCGTTGTTTTTGAATTCGAACTTTATTTTCAATTTGCGTTTTTTTCTTATGTATGTATGTATAATTTTTTTTTAATGCAATTAAGCAAGAAAGCTCAAAGTTTACTCACAACTCACTGATGTCTACGTAAAAATTCAAATTACTGCATCCAATGTCCTTATGGCGGAGGAATGAGTACTACGTGTAAGTACTATACATATTTGGAAATACGCTTGGCCGTCAACCGACATCAAGCATCATCTCATATAAAACCAAAAGATTAAATTTACAATATTTGTACTATAAGCCTACGAGCGTAGGCATACTATACTTATGTATTTCATATTTCAAAGGCAACTATAGATTCAACTACTAGACTAGTATTTCAATATTCACAAACTACACAACGTTAAACTATACAGTCTAATCTAATATTACCAACATATATGTATGTATATATGGAACTGAGTCGAAGCAAATCATCAAATCATCAGAAAATCATCAAATCGTCAAATCGGAGCAGTATCACCAATTAATTATCCTCTAGTACATTTTGTTGTTATACATATATTTGCAGCAAAAAACGCGAATCCATATACATACGTCCACGTCGTATAACTCGGGTTAGTAAGTTCACCTCGTCCAGTCCGTCCGCTCGTGTTTTAAGCTTCAGGACACCGTTAAATCCACGACATACATAGAAATGTGTTTTTGCCGGAGGTTCTGAGCTGTCTTGAACCATGTTTCGAGTACATACACGCGATTTGCAAAAATTCTCTCTTACGCATATTCAATCACACAGGGCTCTTTATTAGAACATTTTCATAGGCAATTGCATTACATACGATTACTATTGTTTCCATTTTAAATATATGTACAATTTATGCTATAAATACATATGTAGATGATAATAAATATTAACTAAGCTAAACCTGCTTAGGACTACACGGCATACAAACATACAACTTGCTGAAATAATTGATCTTTGATCAAAGGAGAACCATGATACAAAATTAATTTGGTGCGTCATGAACATTATTTTCGAACTGGAAAAACAAAGGTGTCGAGTTGTGCGCGTTGGCCATGCTTTCACATTCACATTCACATTCACATTTTCTTGTTGTGGATGCCGTGCTTTTGCCGCAAATGTAGCTTCAAATCATACTTCCAAGAACAGGAGAACGCACAAAACTCGCAGTGAAACTGCACCGTGGCTTTCTTTGCAACACCCGCCGCCGCCAGCGCCAAGTGCGGCGAAACTTTGCTGAAGCAGCTGCTGGCCGGATTGAGTGTATTGATGCCACTTTCCGCAGCCACGTTCGCCTCGCCTCTACTACCTCCTATCGCCTTGTCCGCACAGCTGGCGGATAAACTTTTTCCAGCGCTATGGTCTGTTATTGGAGTTAAAGCAATGCTGGCGGTGCTGCCTGTTTTAGAAGCGGCGGCGACATCCTGCACTGTGCTTGCTTGCGGCGGCATGAGCATTGAGCTACCAATTAAGTTGGCCAATTGGATTGAGGCGGCAGCTGATATTTGGCAACCACTACAACTACTATGGTGTACGGATGGTGTTGATGACGTTGTTGGCAGGCATGTGGTCGCGTGCGTAGGCATAGGTGGTGGCGGTGTTGGTGGTGTCATTGCTCTTGTGCATGCGCTAGTTAGGCTATGTGGCTGTATAATTTGCAAATGTTGCTGCTGTTGTTGCTGTTGCTGTTGCGTTTGACTCTGCGGCTGCTGTAAAAAATTAGTTCTACAGCATTTGTACATTGTATGAATCGATATTTCTGGTTCAAGCACGTCACACAATAAACTTTTCGCAGTTGCCAGTGTCATCGGCGTTGACGTTGACGCTGACGCTGGCGTCTGTGTTGGTGTTGATGCATTTGAAAAAGAGCTACTAGCAGTCGTATAAGCAAGGTCTGCAGAGGGAACAACAGCAGCTTCGAGTGCTGCAACAGAAGCAACCAATTCGTTTTGACCGTTATTGTTTTGGTTACCATCGTTTCGATCAGCACCGTGTGTGTCACGTTGTTTGTTATAGACCACCATTGCTTTATTGTTGTTATTGTTGCCATTGTTGTGGATTTGGATGCTGGCTGCATTCCTTGCCGAAGCTGCTGCGACGACGGCCGCTGCTGTGGCAATATTATACAATGTCCGTAAATCTGAAAAATTGATGATTTCGCATTGGAAATGGTTTTAAGGTGTTGTATGTGTGTCTTTCTGGGTGATTTCCCTTTCTGTTTTGCCCTACTATGTATAAGTACGTACGTAAGATACCTACGAAAATATTTTCAAGGACCTCGATATACATATGTATGTATGTATGATTGTAATGAATATGCACAAAAATCTACACGGACGGTACACATGACTGTAGATGTACTATCACATGTAGTGTGTAAATGAGCTTTCGAAGAACCCACATGAGCACGCAACCCAGCTGAAGATCTCTCCTATGCCCATAATACATACATACTCTCTAATTATTAACACACACATTCAAGAATAATTGTACGAAATTATGTTATACATACATACATGTGTATGTGTGTATGTTTCCTGTAAAGGCTAATTCACTCGTTTTAATAAACTTAAAAAGTAATTTTGATAGGTATCTCTATGAATGTATGTATGTATGTATGTGTATGCATATGTGTATATGTATTAATGTATACCCATTACTTATGTAGAAGATTTCAGTAAAACAACATGTTATTTACTATATTGCGTTTATATTTCATCGATTAATAGTTGGTTGGTTATGTACGAATATACATAAATACATACGTATGTACGTACGTATATGTATGTAAATACAACATACACACTTTATTTATTGAAGTAAAAGGCATTTGTAAACGTTCGTTTTAAATAATTACATACATACTATGTACAGAAAGAAAGAACGAAAAAAACAAAAAATTAAGGTAAAAAAATAGACATTAGGGATTTGTAGAATATCGGCCAGAATCGGCCGATTTGGAAGCTGCAAAACGTTCGGCAACGTCGCATCTGCCTTTCACACAATACGCGCTATCACCAAATTAAACACTCTATTTATGTATATATGCACAAAACTTACATTTATTCGGTTAAAATGCACTTAACTAATTATATACATACAAACATATGTATATGTATGTGTGCACACATTGTCACAACATGTACAATTACATAGAAATGCATAGATTATTTTTTTACTATAAAACTTAATGTAAAATAAAGTGATTTTGTAATAATAGTAACCAGGTCTTACAACTATTACAACTAAACCCCAAAAGCACTCTCAAACACATTTAGATGGAATTATAATTACTTAGACCAGTCTCGTGGCTCTGAATAACTTACCCGATATTAAACATGAAATTGTATAATGGTTTCGAACAATAAACTACACCATTCTGCCACACTAAATTTCACAAAAATCCCCCCTTTTATTTCTAGTTTCCTTCAGTATTAGTGCACCAATCCTACGAGTATTTATTACAGAACACAAACTTAGTTTGATCCCCCCACAATCCTCTGTATGTATGTATGTTTTCATTTTATTCTTTGGTTAATCTTGCCAAAACGGTTTGCACACGAAATTTTTCAATTCGAACCTTGAATGTCGTCGAACAGATAAAGAACGAGCTTTTATTTTAGTCAGCACATTCTCCCTTAAAGGAGTCATCTAAACATTGCTGGCGCTGGCGCTGATGCTGATGCTGATGCTGAAAATGGCGTAATTGATAAAAGTTCTGTGGCATAGTCGGCGGTTGATTGCTGACGCTATTACCTATCATGGATAATTTCCCCCCGTGCGCATTGTTGGCCCCACCAACCAACTCCTTTCGCAGCTGTCGACTGACTTTGTTGTTCTCTTCGGAATCGAATTTATCGTTTCTGTCGTTGTCGTTGTCGTCGTCGTCATCATCGTCGTCGTTATTATCACCTTCGGTATCCAAATCGACCACTTCAACACCCATAAAACTACTGACACTTGATGGCATAGAGGTGGTGGTTGTATTGAATGGGAGCGGCGCTTTTGTTGCATCTAGCGCATCTTCCAACTGACTGCGTGTTGTTGTCGCAGTATACGACGATAACATTGGCTGCAAGCGTTGTTGGTGGGGTGGCAGGCGATGTGCGTACCCCCCATGCGATCGCACGCCATGATTATTATTGCCAATGGCACTCGTTGTTGCCGGGCGTCGAAACAAAGAGCGCATTGCCATTTCGGGATGCTTTTTTCGCACATGTTGGCGCAAATGGTCGGCACGTTTCGTCCGGTGCCCACACACCGAACATACCATACTTTTACCCTTACCACATTCTTGGCGCATATGTCGACGCAGGGTTCCATGGCGGCGATACGTTCGATAGCATTGCGGACACTCGTAGTTCTCTTCGGAATTATCGAGCAACTGGTAACGCGAACTTATGCCGGAGTATAGCGAATCGGTGCATTCGTTGGCTGCAGAGGTGTCCTGCCTTTCGGGCGAACTACTTTCAAATATGTTGCTATTCGTTTTATCTACGAGCATATCCGCTGTCAGTGATTGTTGTTGTTGTTGTTGTAGCTGTTGTCTCGAAAATGTACAGCCGGATGACCGAATAGTATTTGTATTGGTGGCGTTGGTAGCGATGGTAGTGGTAGTATTGGTTGGATGAGCAAAGGAGGGGAAATATCCTGAAATTTGGTGTTGTTTAGTTTTTCCTTTAAAATTTCGATGAGGAAAGAGCATGTTTATTTAATACATTTGTATTTTGGTTTGTTGTTTCTGGTTATTGGAAATCTTATAGCATATGCAGTAGATATGTACTTGTGTGTGAATAGAAAATATAAAAAAAAATTTAATTTTCGAATTAAAATTTAATAACGAAACTTTCGATTTTTCGTGTAGTTGCGTGCGTGTGTATGCATATTTGTTAAACATTTCTGTACATAGGGTATACATATATATATGTAGTTTGCTTTAGTATTTTAGGCATGCCAATAGAAGATAAGAAGCCAGCAGCGCGAGCCCTTTGATCTGTACGAATAGTACTACAGATCGCAATGGCTCAAACAATATTACAATCACAATGCACATTCTGAGTTGCAAAATTCTTCAATGTTAATTTCTTTTTTTTGTTTTTAGTTTTGGTTAATAAAATACTATGTTAAATTATTACATCAGTTAGACCGACTTAATAGCGGTTATCCTGGCTGTGTACAACTGGTGGGAATATAAGAAGTTTGTAACGTACCCCGTACATACATACATATGTAAATATTTCATACGGCTAGCCAAAACCAAGTGTTGGCAGGTGTAAATTGGACGCGCTTTTATAAAAAGCGTTGGGCACAGAGCGAGTTTTGAATTTTTTTCATCCCTGGCAAAAAATCGAGTTAGTGCATGAACATTTTTTTTTTAATTCATCGCAAAAAGTCGAATTAAGTTCATTTGTGTTTTTTAAATATTTTTTACCGCAAAAAAGCTCGTCTCTTCAGAGAGGATAAATAAGTCCCTCTACCTGTACGGGGAAAACTTACTTTCACTACATAAAATCTCATTCAAATAAACAAGAATTTAAAAGCATTCTATTTGCTTGAATCGGTAAAAAAATTCATCGAAAACATCGATTCTACCCCTGAACTGATAATGCAAAACCGTCATCTAACATACCGTGAGTTAGAGGCAACTTTGGGCTTTACGTATGAAAGAAACGATTAAAACCCATATAATTTGGCAACAATAAAATCTATTTCGCTGCTAAGCGTACCATTTGTGGGCCAATTAAGATGGGTAACTGGGCACTGAAATGAAAATGTACATATGTATGTATATTGTGAATAGCAAATATATTTAGTTAAGTGCTATGAAATTGAAGATAATAGAATTTTGAAGTATTAGCAAGCAAGACTCGTGTGTAAACAAG